AGAACCCCAACTATACTTTCTAGTTTTTTCAAAGTTTCTAAGTAAATTTAAATACATGAAATTTACACTATTCTCCGTACTTTCGGGAAATAAAAAGGTTCCAAAAAGCATTATTATATAATTTCTAGCTTTTATTACTCTAGCTAGCTCGGAGGAATTTTTGTTCAAATCCAGAGTCGCATAATGATTTTTGAGTTCAATAAGTAGTATACCTTGGCCTCTAGCATCACCGCCTTCAACCATATCCTTGCCCAACAATTCCTTGCACAGAGAATTGGGCTGTTGGGTCATAGGTTCTATGTCCACCCACACCTATGTCAATTCTACTCAATCACAGGATCATCAGAAACTAAATTATGATCTCATATGTCAAGAAATCCTACCTCTCGTCAACAATGATCCATCATTGAAGGTGAAAACCATAATCTCTCACATCACTACGGTATATAACTATACTCCGTCATACCGAAAGGCATGGTTAGCAAAGACCAAGGCGATTGAAAAGGTATATGAAAACTGGGAGGAGTCATATAAAGAACTTCCCCGCTACCTGAATACACTTCAGACTTATTCTCCGAGTACTGTTTATATTATGGAAACACTGTCAGTGTACGCCCCAAATGGTACTCATGTCACCGAAAATGGAATATTCAGTCGAGTGTTCTGGGCTTTTCAACCTTGCATAACGGGGTTTGCATCATGCAAACCTATTATTCAAATTGATGGGACTTGGTTGTATGGGAAATACAAAGGCACGCTACTGATGGCAGTTGTACAAGATGGAAACAAAAACATTTTCCCAATTGCCTTTGCTCTAGTCGAGAGAGATACTGGTGGTGCTGAGTTTCTTTCTCAAGAATCTCCGAACACATGTGGCTCCTCAACTAGATCTCTGTTTGATTTCCGATAGACATGCATCTATTGAGAGTGCATACTATAATCCTGCAAACGGTTGACATGACCCTCCTTCTACGCATGTCTATTGCATTAGACATATCGTCCAAAATTTCACGAGGGAGATCAAAGACAAGGCTCTTCAGAAAGCGGTTATGAATGCAAGGTATGCATTAACGCAACCTATGTTCAAACACTATCGCAATGAGATCAGATTGTCAAATACAGACTCATGTATGTGGATCAATAATATTCCGGTGGAGAAATGGACTAGGTCATACGACAATGGACAACGATGGGGCCACATGACAACAAATCTGATTGAATCCATGAACGGTGTATTAAAAGGCATACGAAACCTCCCAGTAACTGCTTTGGTTAAATCAACATATTTTATGATAGCTTTGTTGTTTGCCAAAAGAGGTGAATATGGAATGCTATCTCGCAATCGGGACAACTATGGAGTGAAATCTGCATGAAGTATATTAAGGTAGAAAGTGCCAAAGCCAACACCCATATGGTCATACGGTTCGATTGACACAACCATAACTTCATTGTCAAAGAGACAATCGACCACAACGAGGGACTGCCAAGACAAGAGTATAGGGTTATACTACCTTCTCGTTGGTGCGATTGTGGAAATTTTAAGCCTTTCGTATGCCTTGCTCTCATGTCATTGCGGCATGTGCGTATACTCATCAAGACGCATTACAACTTCTATCTCCCATTTACAAGTCTGAAACCTTGCTCAACGTATACAACAACAACTTCCCATTGGTAGCGAAACCTGATTATTGGCCTGCATACGACGGCGAAATAGTATGGCATAACAACCAAATGCGAAGGAATAAAAATGGTCATCCCAAAAGCAAACGCATCACAACTGAAATAGACTCCCTTGACAAGCTAGAAAGAAAGTGTGGTTTATGTCATCAACTCGGACACAATCGCAAAAATTGTCCAACTCGGGCTACTAGCTCAACAACATAAAAATTGTAGGTAAAACATCTTTACCTTTTTAAGTTGTAAACATTACAGTTTTTTATTAAGAGCATTTGTTACAACGAACCTTACGCAAACAACAAATAAAAACACGATAAAACGTCTAAGAAATTACAACCGTTAAAACAATTTCATATGACCCATGCATCATCAACATTACGTCTCCGTCTGTTTTGACTTTCTCCAACCAAAAATTAGGTCTTCCTGTTGCAAGTGAGGTAGCTGTTCATCTTCGCTGGATCCTTCTAATTTGCTCCCCATCTTCGATGTCTCCCTCTAGCCATCGCACCAACTCTCTCTTCAGACGCTCCATGGAGTGAATGTGCCAAAATTTCATTTTCATCGGAGGTTTGATGGCCGAGAAAATAACGTAACCATCTCTGGTAAAAATCATGAGAGATGTCATGAGGCAAATAATAGAAAAAATAAGAAGACAGTGCGAGAAAGTGTGAAGAATGACGGAGAAACGGAGGATTTATTTATAAAAAAAATTGCATTTTGCCCTAGACGTCAAGTGAGATGGCGCTTCCTCTCACTTTTAGAGTGCATGCGCCATCTCACTTGGCTAAAAGTGAGAGCATGCGCCAAGTGAGATGGCGCTTAGGACAAATGATCAAGTACATGCGCCAACTGAGTTGACTCCTCCTTTGTAGAGTTTTTTGAAATATGATTATTTGCGTAATTTTCTTTGAAACATAATTATGTACGAATTTTTTTTCAAAAGCTGGATATTACCAAAAAAAAAGAAGAATTATACTGTTATAGTATCATTATATTATTGATCTTAATTTATTTGTATTTTTTCATTGCAGCATACAAATTCTCTTAATTTTTTTGGGCTGATACTAAATATTTTAAGTAATATGATTTAATATTAAGTAAAAATGTAAAATTGACTTGAATGAAATTTATGAGGTTTTATTTAGTCATTAATCCCTTTCTAAAATTTGTTTTTAAACGGCAATTACTATTATAACTCTTTTTATATTTATATGTATTTACGTGTTTTATGTCCATGCATTTTTTGGTACCAATATTTATTTATATTTTTATATTAAATTAATAATTCTTTAAAGTTTGTTTAAAAAAACTGTTTAAAACTTTTCTCACATATTTAAAATTTTATAATTCTTTATTTTACTTTTATACTTTGCATAAATTTTATTAATTTTTACTGTTTTATTTTTTTGCTTAATTTTTTATTTTTGTTAAAAATATATTATTATTTTTATATGATGCAAAAATATTAAGTTATTATTAATTTTATCATATAAAAGCATATTAAATATATAAAATATTCATAATTACTACTTTAACTATATTTATTATAATAATTCATTATAATTTATCCGTGTGTGGTAAAGATAAACTGCTAGTATCAATAAAAAATTTATAAAGTAATGAAACATCTTAATTCAATTCAACAAATTTCACCTGTGAAAAAAATATTAATTGTCTTAATTAGATTAAATAAAATTTATTTGATTTTTATAAAAGTTTGGATTAAATTTTTAAAAAATATTTTAAAAAAGTTTTTTTTTTTGTTAAATCTACTAGAATCTATAGAGAATTTCTATTAATTTTGATAAACAAGATTATTATCAATACACAATAACAATGAAAGAAAAAATTAATGTTTGACGAAATTGAAAAGAAGAAGATAATTTTCTGTAAAGTTTCTCTCTATCCATAAATAATGGAAAAATTTTATTCATTTTGCAACGCACAAATACAAAAACTTAAAATAACTATTTTGATCTAAGTCGAATTACTGTATAAAACTTACTGCTTAGATATTTTGAAGGTTATCACAACTTGATATACAATTAATTTCAACACAACCTTCATTCTATCCGGCAATCTACTTCGACACAAAAAATTATGATCTCAACCGTTTTTAAAATATAAATCTCAATTTAATAACGCTTAAATTCAAACATCAAGATTAGAATCCTTGAATGCAAAAAGTTCAAAAATCCCCTTTCTTGAATTTCAATGACATCTTTCATTAGATCATATAGACGACAACCATATATAGCAACAATTAAGCGCGTGTTTCACAACCTCCTTTAAAGGAGCGTAGACTTAACAAAAAAACACAGAAAGAAAGCAACAGCAACACATGCCACACGGTGATCACAAATAAAAATCTATGATATATTTTTGTCCGATCATATTTATTCTAAGTGGATACATAATTATGAAAATGTTGGTAAGGTAGCAATAATGAAAGTTTATAAAAGAATTAATAAGGAAGAAAAAGAGTACCAAACTAAAACCGTTTTATAATTATAATTAAAATTGTTTTCTTGTGTAGGTATCCACATAAGTCTTCCCATTCAAGTAAAGTTAGTTGAACATTGAGTGAGAAAGTGGCCAACCATACCATACCCTTTTTTTTCTTCTCTTTCTCTCATCATCATCATTGAACCAAAAATAACAATAATCTAAATTACTATAACTTCCACAAAATTTAAAGAAATTTAATTATATATAAACTCCATTAAAAGGTGAAAAGAATTGGATTCCAAGAGAGAGAGAGAGAATGTAAGAAGAATCGTGTGCTGTAAATAAAGCTAGAGAGAGTGAGTTTCTTCTACTTTGACAGCACTTTTAGAGTTCTTGCAACTTTGGAAGCTCTTTGACAACTAACAAGGTATTTCTATATCTTATCTATGTATGATCTTAAGTGTTTTTTTAATATAGATCTTTTGAGGATTTTGCTTTTAAGAGGAAGTTAAATTTGTTAATTATATAAGTGTTATGGTTATGAATCATGTTGTGTTGGAATGAAGATGTGTGAATTATTATGATTCTTTCTTTTTTTGTTTGTGAATTTTTTCAACTTGATTACCAATAACTGACTTTACCTTGGGATCCTTATTTCCAACCTGTCAGAAGATTATTTATGATTAAGTTTTGTTGTTATAACTTTGAGAAAACTATTCAATTCATAACTTTCTCTTTCAACTTCATGTATGATTTTGTTTCTTCCCATAACCACTTTCTTCCTCTTGTGCTTCCTGCATAAAGAGGAATGAAAGCCTTTTCAATTTCAATTTCATGTTCATTTGTGTACAGGAAGAAAAAGTAATGCTACTGAAATGGGAAAGAAAGGGAGTTGGTTTTCAGCAATCAAGAGGGTTTTCACACACCACTCCAAGGGCAAGGTAATTTATGCTACTGCTCTTTTCATCTTGTTCTTATGTTTGATTCTCTTTCGGTGTTAGATGGCAAAACGGGGTTACCATTTATAGAAATTCTACTAATATTCCGCAAGAATGTGGTTTGACGTTTCAGTCTCGTTAATATGTAACTAACTCTTAACATTAAGAAATTTTACCAGTTTTCTGAACTTTGATTCTGGACGCAACATATGCACGATGATATGAATGTATAAATCTAATCATAGCAGGATTCAGATAACAAAAGTTCAAAAGAGAAGAAGAAAGGTCGGGGTAAACTAAAACATGGAGAGACCAATTCTTTCATCCCGCTCTTCAGAGAGCCCAGCAGCATTGAGAAAATATTTGGTGACTTTGAAAGAGAGCAACAAGTGCTTGCAATTAGGCCTCCCACACCTCCTGCGCGACCCAAAACACCGCCTTTTGTTCCTCCTAGAGTTGCTTCTCCTAGGCCTCCTTCTCCAAAGCCCCCTTCTCCGAAGGCTCCTTCTCCACGAGTCACCTCTCCCAAAGCAGCATCTTCTCGGAATGTTCATCACAACAGACCCGAGCCAACTTTACGGAACCAGCATGCGTCGGCTACTAAGATTCAGGCTCTTTACAGAGGTTATACGGTAAGATTTTAAATTTTCTTGTGAATGCCGTTAATATTAACTTCACCAGACTTTTTTTCGCGAAACAAAGTTCCCTAACTGTAATATGTGGTACTTGCAATACAGGCGAGGAGGAGTTTTAGAGCTCTTAAGGGTTTGGTAAGGCTTCAAGGAGTGGTAAGAGGACAGAATGTGAAGAGGCAGACAGTTAGTGCCATGAAACACATGCAGCTGTTGGTGCGAGTTCAATCCCAGATTCAATCTAGAAGAATCCAGATGCTGGAAAACCAGGCACGATATAACGCTGAGTTCAAGAACGATAAGGACGCTGCAAGTACCTTTGGAAAACTAACTTTAGGACATGGTGTAAGTGATCACACTCTTCTTTATGGCATCCATTGTATAAACCAGACTAATTTATTATGATAAATCGGAATCTTGGTTTAGTCTGAGGCAGGTAACAGCGAAGATTGGGATGATAGCTTACTGACAAAAGAGGAAGTAGATGCAAGGCTGCAAAGGAAAGTGGAAGCAATCATCAAAAGAGAGAGAACAATGGCATTTGCATATTCTCATCAGGTATCCGCCAACACGGCAACACAGCCTAGACTTTTTCTTCTTCATGTTTTTCTTTAGGCGCAAATTCACTTACAACATTTTGATAATAAGATCACTAATTGTTACGACTTTGTACAGTTGTGGAAGGCCACGCCAAAATCAACTCAAACACCGGTGACAGACATGCGATCAAGTGGATTCCCATGGTGGTGGAACTGGTTGGAAAGACAGCTACCTGCAACATCAAACCCACAAGAAAAACAAGTCCTAAAAAATTTTCAACTAACTTCGCCGAGACCATATTCAGAACAAAAGACAAGTCCAAGACCTGGCTCAAGCACTCAAAGGCAACATCATCATCCTTTTGCCTTTGATAACATGGATACATCCACTCCAAAATCGACAAAATCAACGATATTTCCATCTTCAAAACCATCTAGAACTCCTCCATTTAGAACTCCACAAGGAAACAGTTCAAGCATGATGTCAAAATATTCAAGGTCAAAAGCAGTAGGGTCCAGTTCACCTTTCGACGTGCCAATGAAAGACGACGACAGTCTCACAAGCTGTCCACCGTTTTCGGTTCCAAACTACATGGCTTCAACGGCTTCTGCTAAGGCGAAAGTACGCGCTAGTAGTAATCCAAGAGAAAGATTCGGCGGTGGTAGTAGCGGTTGTGTAACTCCAACTCCAAGCAATGATTCAAAAAGAAGAGTCTCATTTCCTTTATCACAAGGAATAGGATCATTCAAATGGAACAAAGGGTCAGTGTTCTCTAGCAATAAGGATCCTCATGGTTCACACAGGACACCAGATAAATATCAGGAATCTATAGGAAATGTGAGTGTGGATTCGACGGTATCATTGCCTGCAAGGGTCGGAAGAAAGCCTTTTACAAGATTTGTGTGATTTAATTCTTTTTTAACCATTTTTTGTTTCTTTTTCATGTTTGGGGGTGTTATTATCAGTTGTATTATGATTGTGATCGAGTGTATTGGTGGTGATTATAGTTTGACAAAAGTATACTCGTTGTAAAACTAATAAAAAACATAGTAGGAAATAATGGTTTGATAACTTTGCTTTTTGAATCTAATGTGTTGATATAAAGTTCATTTTCTGTCACATTAAGTTCATCTGTCATGAGAAATATGTGAATTTTGTTCTTGATTGGATAACAATATAAAGTATGAACAACTCACTATAGCTGTTGTGGGCTCGGGCCGGCCCACGGCTCAGGGTTTTGGATGGAATGGGCTCCTAAATTGCAGGACTGGAAAAGAATGACATTTTGGCCTACCTTGATGGTCACAGCTGCTATGGTGGGTCTAAGTTTTATACTCCATTCCCCTAAAATGCAGGGGGTCTGTTCTGATATAATCATGAAATATTGAATTTATTGTCTTTTGATAAGTTGTTCCAGCATTTTTTAGGTCAAAAGGCATAACTACCCACTCATAGGTACCTATTACCCCAGGGCAACGAAAAGCTGTTTTGGACGCATCTTCCTCAGCAATGAAAATTTAGTTGTATCCAGAGTATCCATCAAGCATACTAACGTATTCAAATCCTACGGCTGAATCTATTAGCATTTCTGCTAAAGGCATTGGATACTCATCTTTAGGAGTTGCTGCATTTAAGTCACGAAAATCTATGCATACTCTTAATGAACCGTTTTTCTTAATAACAGGAACTATATTGGTAATTCATTCAACATACCTTGTAGTCCCGATAAAATTGCAACGAAGAAGTCTTTCGACCTCTTTTTTAATCTTTGAAAGAACATCTGGGGCGAGTCTTTTGGGCGACAATACAAGTGTGACAATACAAGTGCAATAAACATTACAAAGAATCCGGTCATGCATTCAAGAACCAAACACATCGACATATGACATCATTTTCTTCGTGATCATTTACTTCAAGGAGATGTCGAGGTCACATTTGTAGATACTCATAATCAACTTGCCTATATCTTCACTAAATCTTTGGCAAGAGAACCGTTTTACAAGATTCGACGAGAACTTGACATTCTTGATGAACACGGCATATAAGGTGTTTTCTATCCTTTTTATGCTTTCACATACTTGTTTTAACTTTGTTATATGTGAATATATATGTTAAGTGGTGTTTAAATTTAAGAAAAATATGTTTTTGGTCATTTTATGGATTTTGTGTATCAACAATTTGCTTTCATGAATACCAACATCAACAACCAGTGGAATACCATCAATGACTCCACGACTTCTCGGATTAATGATTTTCGCTTGGATGTGAACCAACAATTTTTCTACCTTTACTCTCACCTTCACATACCTCCATATGACCCTAATAATCCTGTTGCACCTCCACCACATTACACAGAACCTCCTCTACAACAACAATTCCCCAATCAAGGACCCTGTTACTATAACAACCGTGACATGAATCAACCATAAAATTTTGTCCAACTTTGTTATTTCTATTATTTTTCTGTTATGTCCTTGTTTCGTTATGACTACGTTTTGTTTGTTGTTGTTCAGATTTCTTTGTAATTGTTATTTTACTATGACTATGTCTATGACTACTTTTTATGCATGTTTGATTAAGTTTTTTCGATGTTGTTTTATTATTGTCCATTTTTATTGCATCTTTCCCTTCTTTTTAATAATGTCAAAGGGGGAGAAGGATGTGGCACTTTATGCTTGTATATTTCATGTCTTGAATTTCTAAGTTAATCTTCAACCAAGATGAACAAATTCAAAGGATTCCAACCTTCTCATATAAAGGGGGACTTATGCATATTAGGGGGAGAAGTTTCTTTCCGAAAATTACAACGCATCAAGCAAGATCGTTTGTCATCATCAAAAAGGAGGAGAATCTAAAATCAAGCTTCTCAAATGCACTTTTGTTTTGATGAAGACAAACCATTTTGACAAGAAGGCAAAGATTATTGATCAAGCTAAAAGCATCTTTGGATAAAGTCTTTGGTTCAAGCACTTAGCAAATTTCAAGGTATAATGATAATACTTACTTTGAACTTAAGACATAGATGCTCAATGGTCAAAAGAAATATTTTATCTTGTCTAAACTTTTTTCTCAAGTTTTCTAAGCAAAAAAATCAATTTTTTACTTATGTGCATTCTATTTGCATATTGGTGCAATTGATTACATGCTTCACGTTTTCTAAATGTTAGCTATTGTTTCTAAGTGAAATCTATTTGCATGTTTGTGCAATCGATTGCTCTCAATCATTTTTTGCTACTAACTTCAAGTGCAACCGACTTACACACTTGTGCAATCGATTGCTCACTCAAAATATTTGAAATTTTTAGCTGTTGAAACCCTGTGCAATTGATTTACACAAGACCGCAATCGATTGCATGCTGAACGATTTTGAAAAACAGCGGCTTTACTCATGCTTGTTCATAACACCATTTCATGAAAACCTTTCACTTAATCTTGGCAATTGTTCATGATTTATTTGCAGAATTATATGCTTTTTCAAAAGGGTGCTATGAACATATAAATACTCATTTTCAAAATCATTTTAAGTACCTCTTCCAATCATATTTTCTGAATTTTCAAAAATCAAACTCAAGATTTTATACACTTTCATACACAAGTTTTCTGCACACTTTCACATATTGTCAACCAGAAAACTTTGAGCATTATATATCTTGAGTCATTGTATACTATTTTTATTGGAAGAGAAGATAAATTCATTGATAAAATCACTCAAAGTGATCATTGTTACACAAACTCACTCAAATCAAATATTGCTATACTTGCTTATTTTTCAAGATTGTTGAAAATAAGTTCAAGTGATTTTGAAATCTTGTTTTTCCAAGATTGTTGGATACAAGTAAAGTCACTTTGAGATGATTGTTCTCATTGTTGACATAGTGAAAAATCCAATAGGATTGTTCTTGGTTTTGGTAGTTCTTGTTTAAGTTTGCCAACTATAAGGAAATCTCTTTCATGTTGAAAGCGGACTGGAGTACTCTCGGACTGTGAGGGGAACCAGGATATATCGCTTACGTCTCTTTATTTTTCTTCACTTTACTCTTTCATAAACTCGCCATAAACCAGAAAAATAATATCCATCATCACTAAAAACAGAAAAATTTTAAAGTACCTAATTCACCCTCCCCCCACCTCTTAGGCGCACTTCGTACTTACAATTGGTATTAGAGCAGGTTATAGGTAACCTGTTCCTAAAAGATCCAGAATGGCTTCCGCAAATCAAAATCTTGTTTTCAGAGATGGTGGTAGTAAAAACAAGCCTCCTCTATTTTGTGGTGAATATTTTGACTTCTGGAAAATATGCATGAAGGCATATCTAGAAGCACAAGAAGAAGAAATATGGGATGCCGTCGAGAATGGTCCATTTATTCCTATAACGGTGACCAATGGTGCTGGCTCATTAAAGCCTAAAGCTGCATGGGATGAAGATGATAAGAAAAAAGGTCCTCTATGATAAAAAGGAAATCAACCTTCTTCAAGATGCACTTTGCATGGATGAATTCTTCCGTGTCTCGGCATGTAAAACGGAGAAAGAAATATGGGATACCTTGGTACAAACTCATAAAGGAACTGTTGAAGTTAAAATATCAAGACTAAATACTTTGAGTCAAGAATACGAGTTATTTCAAATGCAGCCAGGAGAAACCATCCTTGACTTGCAAAAGAGATTCGTGTACTTGACAAATCATCTAAGTGCTCTTGGTAAGACTTTGACGAATGATGAACTAAATTTGAAAGTACTTAGATCCTTAACTAGGGAATGGAAACCAAAGGTAACGACAATTTTCAGAATAGAAAAGTCTTTCTTCAATGACTTCCGCAACGTTGTTTGGAAAACTTCAAGAATATGAAACGGAACTTGGAAAACTTGAAAAGCATGAAAATCAAGAGAAGAAATCCAAGAATATTGCCTTAAAGATTGATTCCAAGAAAGTTGAAAAGGAAGACAATCCGGAAGAAGATGAAAATTTCATGCTTCTTGTTAAAAGGCTTGGTAAGTTCTTTGGTAGAAATGACAGATCATTTTCTCATGCAAAAAGGAAGAAACACTTTAAGAAAAGAAAAGCTTCCACATCAACACAAGAAGTCACATATTATGAATGTGGTAAGCAAGATCATATAAAGCTGGATTATCCGAAACTCTCCAAGAAAGGTGGCTACAAAGGCAAAAAGGAACTCAAGAACAAAAAGGCATATGTTGCATGGGAGGATAATGAAATAAGTTCTTCTTCCGATTCCGATAGTGATGAAAGTGAAAATCTAGCATTGATGGCCTCACACCATTCTGATAATGAAGATGGTGAGGTATGCTTGAAGACCACATGCAATCTTTGGTATCTTGATAGTGGTTGTTCAAAGCATATGACAGGAGACTTAAACCAATTTTCAAATCTAGTCCTAAAGGCCAAGGGTTTTGTCACTTATGGAGACAATAACAAGGGAAGAACTCTTGGCAAAGACAAAGTTAGTGCTCCACCTTTCACATCCATTAAAGATGTTCTTTATATTGAAGGACTAAAGCACAATCTTCTTAGTATTAGCAAACTTTGTGACAAAGGCTTCAAGATCAAGTTCACCAAATATGAATGCTTGATAGAAGACGAAGTCACACATGAGGTTATACTTAAAGGACCACTACAATTGTTGCATATGGACTTATTTGGTCCATCAAGAATAAGAAGTTTCAGAGGTAATGTATATGCTTTGGTTATTGTTGACAATTTCTCTAGATATACTTGGACATTCTTTTTAGTTCAGAAAAGTGATGCATTCAAGGCTTTCAAGAAGTATGCTAAACAAATTCAAAATGAGAAATCTCTAACAATTGCCTCCATAAGAAGTGATCATGGCGGAGAATTTCAAAATGCTCTCTTTAAATAATTTTGTAGAGAATATGGAATATCTCACAA